GAAATTTTTGGCTTGGCTAATCTCACACTCCTCTCAGTGTGAACAGACAGGGAAGGTATGAAAGTTTAACTGTAGGCAAAACTTTTTTTATTGCTGTTTCCCCAACAGGGAGACACGCTCTCCTTAAGAAGTCCCATTTATAGAAAAGTTTGATTGTGACAAGCATTCATAGTTACATAGTCTGGCTGAAAAAAGACAAAAGTCCATCCAGTTCAACCATTAAAAAAAACAAAAAAAAAACCGTTATAATCCTATACCCACAGTTGATCCAGATGAAGGCAAAAAAAACCAGCAAAGCATGATCCAATTTACTCCTGCAGGGGAAAAAAATTCCATCCTGATCATCCGAGAGGCAATCAGATATTCCCTGGATCAACTTTAACCTATAAATGTTAGTATCCAGTTATATTCTGTGTATCTAAGAAACAATCCAGGCCTTTTTTAAAGCAATCCACTGAGCTGACCAGAACCAACTCTTGAGGGAGTCTATTCCACATTTTCACAGCTCTCACTGTGAAGAAACCTTTCCCTGTTTGGAGATTAAATCTCTTTTCCTCCAGATGTAAAGAGTGCCCCCTTGTCCTCTGTGATGACCTCAGGGTGAATAGCTCTGTAAGAGTGTGACGCATGGATTAATACTGGTGTGTAATGTTAAACTGCAATATGCTCTTTGGTCAGTAGATGGCAGCAAAGTACAAGAATCGATTTTGTAGTGACTTTTGCTAAGACAAGATAAATGCTTATTTACCCTATAAAGTTTAATGAATACTAATTTAGGGGCCGAGTAGGACCCTCAGAAGGGTCATAGTGAACTGTAAATGCAGGTTTGAGGCTGCAATTAAGAAATGACTTACTGCATCACAAACTCTATGGGAAGGGGAGGAGTTCCTGTGCTGAGGAGGAAGTGGAGTCTGGGTCTGGCTGTTGGATGCTGAAGACGTCTGGAGAATCTGTGTGGAGCCTGGAAGAGGATTTACGGCTCACAGTGGAATCTGGCGAGGGCACCTAAGGAAGTTCCACAACGAGACCAGGAAACAAGTGACTGTATGGTCCGGTTTCGGAGTGGGTCAGGAGAAAGCACCAAGAGCCTGCCAGGGAACCGTAAGTGCGGCTTTGCCGCAGCACATCGCACCACACGTGGTCAGTGACATTTTGGATATACCAGAAAGTTACAAGAGACACACTCCACTTCCCTTTGGATTACAAATAGTATTGCGCAATACTTAGGGTGCACCCCAATGTTATATCTTGCTCAGGAACATTCAGGCGCAGCCAGGCTGCTTTCTGGACATTGGGGAAAGTCCGCAAGTGCGGGGTTAGTGTTAGACAGTATTATTCTTACTGTATGGTTATGCGTTGTTATTCTGTTTACGTATGCTCAACTACATGATCACTATAACTGTTCAGTAAACGTAATTGTTTGAAAGAACCGCTGTCTGTGTCTGTGTGGCATCGTGTACCCTCTGAATCTGTGGGCCCAGCCCTCGGTTTTCCTTCAGCTCTACACCGAGTTCACTATATGATCCACTGATGTATTTATACATGTTGATCATATCCCCCTTAATCTCCTCTTCTCAAGAGAGAATAAATTCAGTTCCTCTAATCTTTCCTCATAGCGGAGCTCCTCCATGCCTCGTATCAGTTTGGTTGCCCTTCTCTGTACTGTGAATTGGTGCCCAAAACTGAACTGCATATTCCAGATGAGGTTTTACTAATGATTTTTACCAGGGTAATATGAAATCTCTCTCTCTGGAGTCTATACCTCTTTTATTACAAGAGAGGATTTTCCTCACTTTAGAAGCCGCAGCTTGGCATTGCATGCCATTATTAAGCTTGTGATCTACCAGAACCCCCAGATCCTTCTCCACCATTGATTCCCCCAGTTGTACCCCCCCAGTATGTATGATGCATGCATATTCTTAGCCCCCAAGTGCATAACCTTACATTTATCAACATTAAACCTCATTTGCCACATAGTTGCCCAATTCAACAGTGTATTGAGGTTGGCTTGTAAGTTGGAGACATCCTGTAGGGACGTTATTCCACTGCACAGCTTGGTGTCATCTGCAAAGACTGAAATTGGATTTTTAATCTCAGACCCTATATCATTTATAAATATATTAAAAAGTAAGGGTCCCAACACTGAACCTTGGGGTACACCACTGACAACCCCAGACCATTCAGAGTATGAATCATTAACCACTACTCTCTGAATACGATCTTTTAGCCAGTTTTCTATCCATTTACATACAGATTTTTCCAAGCCCATAGACTTTACCTTACACATTAGCCGTGTGTGGGGAACTGTTTAAAACGCTTTTGCAAAATCCAAGTATAGCACATCCACCACCACCCCTCTGTCCAAGGTTTTGCTCACCTCCTCATAAAAAGAAATCAGATTTGTTTGACAACTTCTGTCTTTCATGAATCCATGCTGTCTGTTGCTTAGAATATTTTTTTTCAGCAAGCACTCATCTACAGTATGTGGCCTTTTATTAAACTCTCCAGTATCTTCCCAACTATAGAAGTTAAACTAATAGGTCTATAATTACTTGGTAAAGATTTTGATCCTTATTAAATATTGACACATTGGCCTTACGCTAATCCAGTGGTACTATGCCAGTCATTAAAGAGTTATTAGAAACAACGGCTTTGAAATGACAGAGCTCAATTCTCAAAGGACCCGTGGGTGAATGCCATCCTGTCCAGGTGCTTTATTCACCTTTAATCTTTCTAAATATTTTTGGACCATATCAATTATGAGCCAATGTGGATCATCTGGAGCTGTGTCAATACCGTGCCCATTATAGACAAGAGCTCCCCCCATGCTCCTTTGTATACACAGAGCTGAAGAAAGTATTTATTACATTTGCCTTCTCTTTGTCCCCAGTCACCCACTCTAGATTATTTTGTAAAGGGCCTACATGTTCAGACCGGACCTTTTTACTATTAATATATTTGAAGACATTTTTGGGGTTGGTCCTGCTAGCTTTTGTAATCTGTCATTTGTTTTAAATTTTTAACTGCCTTTATTTCCTTTTTGCATATTCTGTTATATGCTTTGTAATGTTTAAACGATGATAGTGTTTCCTTCATTTTTATATTGAATAAAAGCTCTTTTCTTATTATCTATAGCATTCGCTCATCCTTTCATGAATTGTGACCATATTTTACTTTGTGCAGTGATTTCCTATGTTCATCAGCTTCATCTAGTGGCCATAATGCAACTTTTTTCTGATGAGGAAACATACAGCATTATTGGCCATTGCATTAAGAAATAAAATGTTCAAAATTCATCAGAAAGAGGGCAAATGCTTGTTACATTTGTCCAGTTTTTTTAAATGTAAATAGATCCCTTATATCCTTTCTCTAATGTCACCAGAGTTTACAGGAATTGGAAAAAAAAGAGAGAAGGATAACGGTTTCAGTTTATCCCTTCCATACTTTATCCAAAGAGAAAAAAACAAAACAAAAATGTACCACCTATGTCAGTAAGTTCCACAAGAAAAATCAAAGAGTCCATAATCTTGATAAATAAGAACCTTCACAGACATTTTAACCACTTGCCCTCCAGAGGATTTACCCCCCTTCCTGACCAGGCCATTTTTTGCGTTACGGGGCTGCGTTACTTTAACTGACAATTGCACGGTCATGCAACGCTGCACCCAAATGAAATTTCTGTCCTTTTTTTCCCACAAATTGAGCTTTCTTTCAATGGTATTTGATTGCCTGTTCGTTTTTTTTATTTTTTGCGCTATAAAAAAAGGCCGACAATTTTGAGAAAGAAAAACAACATTTTTTGACTTTTTGCTATTAAACATGTCCAGTAAAAAAAATTTTAAAAGTCATAAGTTTAGACCAAAATGTATTCTGCTACATGTCGTTGCTAAAAAAAAATCCCAATACGTGTAAATTTATTGGTTTATGTGAAAGTTATAGCTGTTACAAATGGCAGTATATATACTGGGATTTTTGTATTTTTTAAATCTTTTTACTAGTAATGGTGGTGATCAGCGACTTATAGAGGGACTGCAGTGGGCATTCTGACACTGGGGGGAGCTGACTTGGTGTCATTGATATCCCCAGTGACACCAATACAGTGATCAGTGCTAATAAAAGGCACTGACACTGTACTAATGGCACTGGGCAGGAAGGGGTTAACATCTGGGGCAATCAAAGGGTTAACTGTGTGCTGTGTGCCATTTTACACTGTGTCCTGACAGGGGAGAACTGTAATATTTACAATCAGTTCTCCTCCCCGTCGGAGATGCTCAGCAATCACTGAGTGCCAGCGAGTAATCACTGGCCACGACCCGGTGATTGACAGCCGAGGCCACAAATGGCGGAGCAGGTAGGGCGTACACGTGTGCTCCCTACCCGGAAATGAAATATCACGTATATATATGTGATTTTGTGCACCCGTGCCGCCCTGTAGCAGTACTTGTGATATAGGGTGGACGTTAATGAAAGCTACAAATTTAAAAAAGACTGAATGTCACATTTGAAAAGGCATACATTGTATGTAAACCCCAGCAAATAACTTCTCCACAAATGTATTCCCTTTTAGTCTGGTAGATATACAATTGAAAGCATTTTGTTATCTCTGCTTGAGAAGTTGAAAATATTTGTTGATCTTGCCAGAAATCTGGTAACTTTCTGTGCCATCCGTTAAATTTATTCTGTATATCATGTATCATCATTGTGGTGAATAGGGAGCCTTCTTTTTGGCCATTCACTGCAACTGCACCTGTTTTCATTGTTCCCTTTCAACAAGAACAGGAAGTGTTTCATGTTTGTTAAGAATAAAGATTTACCAAAAACCATTGCAGCCATTTTAGCTTCTAGAACACCAGTGAAGGTCTCCTCCACTCTTCCTTTGATACACATATGCCTGTAAGTTCTTTCATTGTGTTTGTTAAAGCGGAGTTCCACTCAACCTATAAAAAAAAACTGTAGCTGCTGACTTTTAAAAAACAGACACTTACCTGTCCCTCTGTCCCGTGGTGTGTCCCCTGCAGCCCGTTTCGCCAGCTGTCCTGTATTCCAGGAGGGCGGCATCTTCAGTGTGGGCACCCGGCTGTGACAGCTTGCGACTTCACAGCCGGGTACCCACTGCGAATGCGCGAGTAGCGCTGCCCTTCATGAATGGTCCTGTAGTCTTCTGGGACCTGTCACGTGTCCCAAAAGACTACTGGAAGGGAGTACACCTTCCTCTTCCGATCGCCTAGGCCAGGGGTTAAAATTTCGAGTCCAGACCTACTAGCCAGGCACAAACCTTACTCGTGTCCCCCAAGGTGGTGTAGAGCGGGCCTCGTGTCCCCCAAGGCGGTGGAGAGCGGGCCTCGTGTCCCCCCAAGGCGGTGGAGAGCAGGCCTCATGTCCCCCAAGGCAGTGGAGAGCAGGACTCGTGTCCCCCAAGGCGGTGGAGAGCGGGCCTCGTGCCTCCCAAGGTAGTGTAGAGCGGGCCTCGTGTCCCCCAAGGAGGTGTAGAGCGGGCCTCGTGTCCCCCAAGGTGGTTTAGAGCAGGCCTCGTGTCCCCCACGGCGGTGGAGAGCGGGCCTTGAGTCCCCCGCGGCGATGGAGAGGGTGTCTCCTCTCAGCGTAGGAGAGCGGACCTCTCCTGCACGTGTCCCCTCAGTGGCGCTGCCACTGTAATGGCGATGCCGTGGAAACCGGAAGTTGTAAACCGGAACTTGGTTTCACAATGAGGCTTGGAGCGCATGTGCAGTCATTCCATGCTTCTTCATCTGTGCTCGCTACTCGCAGCTGTTCGCCACAGAGGAATTTCTCCTCGCATTTGGCGAGTGCCTTTTTCAAGCCCTGGCATAGGCGATCGGACCAGAAGTGAGAGCGAGAGTACCTTTCAAATTCGGGTACCAGCTCCCCAAAGGTGCCAATCCTTAATGGGGAGCAGTCCTTAAAGCGAAACTTCCCCTTTTGAGTGGAGCTCCGCTTTAAAGTCACATACATCACTAGATCGCATTTCAATGTATTCAGTATGATTTGTAGGTAGCTGGAAGAAATGTATTCACTGTATGCATTTGTGAGAGGTGTTCAAACACAGGGCTGTGGAAATTGCTTGTAAAAACTACTTGTCCAGGGACTAAATCGGTGTCCCAATCTACTTGTCCCTCATGACAATCTACTTGTCCAGATAAAAAATAAATACATTTGAACCAAAACAATATTTAAATCTGAGGTGATATTAGGAATATCTGGGGCTTTTAACCACTTCCCACCTGGCCCATGTATATAAATGGTCTCTTAGCTTCTCTATGCAAATAAGCCAATGCAGACATGCATGGCTGTATATAAACCATCACAACACACTGCCTCAGCCCTCCTCTCAAGAACCCTCAGACTTGGTGCAAGAAAATACAAATACACTCTGATAGGTGAATGTAATTCTGGAAGAGTGGGTAATTCTAGACAGTCTGCATTTGCATGCAGACCACCCTAGGCAATGCCTACATATAATGCAGAGCCTCCATCATTGAAAATAACCAAAGTCCAATGAATGAAATAGGTAGGCCAGGGATGGGAGGTCAGGCTGGGGAGATGATGCTGGATGTCCTGTAGCCAGGAAATGAGACAGGCTCTATAGCTGCAGCTTCTCAGGGCTGCTGTTAGAAAATACAGGGCCCCATACAGCCAACCTGACAGCCCCCCCCCCCAAAAAAAAAAACGCAATTTAATATGCTTCAGTTATGAATGAACAATGAGTGATTGGTACTGATCACTCATTGTGTTCATTCAGGAATGTGCCATATTTACCAGACCCTTCCCTCTGAAGAATCCTATTGTGTGCTTGTAGCTGCTGGTGGGAAAGGAGGGAAGCCGCCAGCCCTGTGGGGGCACACAGGGGGGCCTGGGCAGCAGGTGGAAACATATGGTGCACAGGGAGGGTGATGGGTGCGGCAGGGGGCAATTACTGGAACCGATCCCCTGTATGTCTCTCTCTGCAGCAGCTGAAAGCCAGCGGGAGGGAGAGGAGAAGAAGCCAGCTTTCAGCTGCTGCAGAGAGAGACATACAGGGGATCTGTTCCAGTAATTGCCCCCTCACTGTGCCAACCACCCTCCCTGCCCAAATCCAATTCACCTAGCTGCCTGGACCTCCCTAATGGCCCAAGCCCCATACAGGAGGACTGGTGGTACCCCCTTATCCACAGCTTCTAATGAACACTGATAGACGTGCACAGTATGCAGTGACTTCAGTACAGGAGGAGAGTCTGTACAGACGAGCAAGACTAAAGGTAAGGCTGGAGTTCCGTTTGAGAGCTTATTTGGTTTAAAAATGTGTTCGGCCCAATTCACACTATGACAGGCGATGTAGGGCGATGTTTTAATGCGCATTTTCATACTACATGCATAAGGCAGCCCATTTCAATGGGCTTCCCTATATGCAGAAAACACAGCAGTGTTGCTCCTGTAGCTTTTTGAGCACTGTAGCTTTTTGAGTGCCCTCTGACACTTTTCGCTCCACCCACCGGGGCTTGATCACAGAGGACCGTGTGGCGACAGCCAGAGGCGGACTGACAACTCATGGGGCCCCCAGGCAATAGGGGATCATGGGGCCCCTGTGTCCTTGGCCAAACTCAAAAAAGCCTATGAAAAAGGTACCAGGGGCATCTCATGGGGCCCCCTACTGACCCCGGGCCCTCGGGCAGTGCCCGAGTTTCCAAATGGTCAGTCCGCCACTGGCGACAGCTAAAGCCAACCTCCATACAAAGTATTACACGAGCGGTTAGAGCGGTGGCCTTTCTCCTCTTCCTATCGCAAGTTACTGGACTTTGATGCGGACACTATTCCCCTGTATATGCCTGTGAAGTGACTCTTTTGATTACTCAGCTTCTGAGTGGCGCCAAGTCACTTCACAGAGTAGCTGTCAGTTTCAGTTGCAGTGGCACGGTGAGGTAGCAGTGTGATGTGCATTTCAGCACATCACACAGTTCCCTTTTTTGGTCACCTTTATTTGAAGTGCACAAAGGGACACTTAGTTTTGCCATTAACAGTGTTCAGTGTAGGTGGGAGTTAGGTACATTGTCAATGTCAATGGAATGGGAGATAGATGGTAGCCAGGTGCACAGTTTGTACATCATTTCAGTGACCCTAACCACCACCTATACCAAACACTGTTAGTGTCACTTGGATGGTGTGTAGATCCTGTAGACCTATCCTTTAAGCTCCTCCCACTTTTAAGTGTCAATTTCCAAAGGTTTCCTGGTATAGAAATCACTCCAATGATATTGTGCATTGTAACATTCCACAGTGTCCTGTCCTGCAAGTATATTGGGGCTTCACTCGTTCAGAGCGACATTACTAGTCACCACGTTGTGCTTGATGCGTCACCTTGTGTTGCCATAATGTGCACCTTGTACCCCACATTAATGGGGATCCCATCAAATTTTTGCTATGGACCCCATGACCCCCAGATAGTATGCAATCCAGTAACTGACACCCAGGAAATATTGGTGTCCTCACCCCCCCACACTACACCATCCTTACTGATCGCACAGCTTACACATAGCTGAACCGAGAAGAACATCTCTGTTGATCATGGTTGGTGATTTTTATTTTTTTTTCTTGGACCTTGTATTCTTTCACACATACTTGACTGTTAGCAGCATATGGAGCTCGACATCAGTATTTTATCCATTTTCTGATGCTGCCTTTGGGGCTCCGTTACACAGGGAGTATACTGTGGATGGAAATGGAATGCAGCAAAAAATGTTTCAGCTAATAATATTACTTTTACATCTTCCTTATGACAATCCTCAGCTGTGTTAAATGTTTACAAGATCTGTAAGACAAAGATGAGAAGTTACAGAACACGTTGCAGAAGATGAGATCTCGCTGTTTGTGACCTCTGCTCTTCAGCTGTGAGCTGGCTGAGGTCCTACTTCAGTCACATGACACAAGTTGGTCCCAGTAAGTGTTGGCAGGCACTCACAAATTGCTTTGCCAAAAGTAAAGTTTGTAACCAATGTTTCAAACCAGGCAAGCATTAAGGAGAAGAAAAAGTCTTTGGCTTAGTTCACATCTATGTGGGTTCCTCACGGCCATGAATGCTCTCGCACAGCAGCCAATTCTTTTGGATGGGCTGCTGTATCCGCTAAAAATTCAGGGAATACAGTGAGGAACAGAAGTATTTGAACACCCTGCGATTTTGCAAGTTCTCCCACTTAGAAATCATGGAGGGGTCTGAAATTCACATTGTAGGTGCATTCCCACTCTGAGAGACAGAATTTAAAAAATAAATTCAGGAAATCACATTGTATGATTTGTAAAGAATTTATTTGTCTTGCACTGCTGAACATAAGTATTTGAACACCTGAGAAAATCAGTGTTAATATTTGGTACAGAAGCCTTTGTTTGCAATTACAGAGGTCAAACGTTTCCTGTAGTTCTTGACCAGGTTTGCACACACTGCAACAGGGATTTTGGCCCACTCCTCCACAGAGATCTCCTCTAGATCTGTCAGGTTTTGGGGCTGTCGCTGAGCAACATGGAGTTTCACCTCCCTCCAAAGATGTTCTATTGGATTTAGGTCTGGAGACTGGCTAGGCCACTCCAGAACCTTGATATGCTTCTTACGGAGCCACTCCTTGGTTATCCTGGCTGTGTGCTTCGGGTCGTTGTCATGTTAGAAGACCCAGCCACGACCCATCTTCAGTGCTCCATTGAATGGCCCCATTCATCCTCTCCTTAATACAGTGCAGTCGTCCTGTCCCCTTCGCAGAAAATCACCCCCAAAGCATGATGTTACCACCCCCATGCTTCACAGTAGGGATGGTGTTCTTGGGATGCAACTCATCCTTCTTTTTCCTCCAAACACGACAAGTGAAGTTTAGACCAAAAAGTTCTACTTTGGTTTCATCTGACCACATGAGTTTCTCCCATGCCTCCTCTGGATCATCCAGATGGTCATTGGCAAACTTCAGACGGGCCTGAACATGTGATGACTTGAGCAGGGGAACCTTCCGTGCAATGCATGATTTGAAACCATGACGGCGTAGTGTTCTACCGACAGTGACCTTTGAAACTGTGGTCCCAGCTCTCTTCATGTCATTAACCAGCTCCTCCCTTGTAGTTCTGGGCTGATTTCTCACCTTTCTTATCATCAGTGATACCCCACGAGGTGAGATCTTGCATGGAGCCCCAGTCCGAGGGAGACTGACAGTCGTGTTTAGCCTCTTCCATTTTCTAACAATTGTTCCAACAGTTGATCTATTTTCACCAAGCTGCTTGGCAATTGTCCCATAGCCCTTTCCAGCCTTGTGGAGGTCCACAATTTTGTCTCTGGTGTCTTTTGACAGCTCTTTGGTTTTGCCCATGGTAGTAGTTGGCGTCTGACTGACTGTGGGGTGGACAGGTGTCTTTAAAGAGCTCAGACAGGTGCTACTAAGTTAGATTAATGAGCGAAGTAGAGGTGGACTTTTTAAAGGTACAGTAACAGGTCTTTGAGAGCCAGAATTCTTGCTGTTTCTTAGGTGTTTAAATATGTATGTTCAGCAGTGCAAGCCAAATAAATTCTTTAAAAATCATACAATGTGATTTCCTGAATTTTTTTTTTTTTTTTAAATTCTGTCTCTCAGAGTGGGAATGCACCTACAATGTGAATTTCAGACCCCTCCATGATTTCTAAGTGGGAAAACTTGCAAAATCGCAGGGTCTTCAAATACCTCTGTTCCTCACTGTAGGTCCCAGCACCTTTCCAGAAACCACAGCCCACAGGAAAACAGCATAGTGCAGTGCAGGAAACCAAGTTGCGGTTTCCAGTGCATGGGGGGTGCCATTAGAAATAATGGTATCTCCACTCATCTCTAAATGCCATCATGTTTTTAGTGCAGGAAGGTGTGCAATTACACACTTTTTCCCACAGCCTGCACTAACATGAACCTAGCATTCTTGTTGGTGATTCGACTTTAAGAGAAAATAATGTCAAATAAGTTAGGTGATTACCCGGTGC